ATGCAATTTGTTAGCACGTTTAGCTTACTGCGGTAATAAAAAAAAGCGCATGAATACTGGGCGCAGTTTATCTCTTTCTTTACGCCACATTAGTCGCAGCCATTTCATTGATAAAACCTGTACACCAAATGTTTCTTTAAGTATTTCTTCAATATTGTTTTTCTCTAAGAGATTCAATTGTCTCAGTTTCATTGTCTGCAAGCCAAATATAATGAGAAAAATTGCGCCTGTTTTGGTTATGAAGATTAACGAGTTTTGTCTCTAATGGTTGAACACTATCTTATATTCTGTCATTTCTTGTTGCAAATTTTAAGCAATTCGCCGCAGCACTTTCAACGCTCTTTTGTCTCTACTCTGTGTCACCGAATCGTTGTACGAGTTTACTGACCAGCAAGCATTTCCGACATTGTTCTCGGTCACTTGAACCTGGATTTGGTTCCACAACGCCAGAAGCAATAGCAATAATAGTACATACTTTTGTGCACATGACAGAAAAAAACTCGGGTAGTGTGTGTGCGTCAGCTGGACAAACAATGGATCGCTAGTTTTGACAGTAAAATAATTCACCAAATAACTCACATGCGCGAAAAACTGGTTGGGGTTCACAGCATCCGCCGAGAGCCAGCCGACGCAGCCACTCACCCACCAGTCCGAACAAATATAATGAGGTTCAAAGAGCGCCGACTCGTACAAGAAATATACGCACACAGTAAAAAAATGGTGCCTTTCCACACTTAGCAAATGGGAACTCTGGGAAAATGCAAAAGTATGAATGACGGGTGCTTGAAACTAGGAGCGAAAAAATTGATTTTGCGAAAATAGAAATGTTGATCTACCTGCAACGTTGTTGAAGTGTGGTGGGAGTCAAATGACAGTTTTGCTCGATTGAAATGATGTGGCAGATAGGCATGCTCTATGCTCTCTCAGTATTTAGCCACTCACTTGAGGTGTCGTAGCGCCTCAAGTGAGTGGACATGTTATGTGCAGGAAGACAATGTCTGCCTGATATCGCCTAATAATTTCATGTCTCTAGTTGGGCAAAATACATGTCAGCCACGGAAGAAGTGCATCCGCAGTCATTGCAATAGATGACCACGTGCCTGATTACAGTGGGTCAGCTCGTGTTCTCTCATTATCGTGTTACCATGCCTTCTACTTGGTTCGACGTCAACTGCTACAGCTTAGTGGAACCCTTTACAAGCTCGGCACGATCGTTATAGATCGGTGCTGTTGCATTACGGACTCGGTGTCGCAAAAAATTAGGGGCGCGTATCGGCGGCCTTGTTACTGAGCGAGAACACCTGATGGACGTCAAGTGTTGACATTAATTGTTCTAGCCTCAATCGAACTCAGGCGCTCTAACTGAACGTCACCTATACTAACACAGATTCACGCAGTTCTTCAAGCTACTTGGAAAAAATATCCTACAAAGGCGTCATGTCGTAGCGACGTGAATTGCCGTCGCAATGTTCGCCATTTCCTTTTATAAAAATGTACTGAATAATGCATACCTAGTCCAGTGTTTCGACAAGCGTAGCTCAAACCTGAAAAAAAATGCGTCACCGACCATTGCTTGGTACATGCAAATCAACGCGCCGTATATTAGCACACACGTACTGCGCGTGAATATTTGCACACAGAACTGAGGTGATTTGATTACCATTGGGACGCTGCATCAGGCGATAAGCACCTTTCTGTGTGAATTAGCTGGTAAGCCCGTGATATGCGCGCAACTAATCGATTTACATTCACATGTGGCTTGGCCGAAAGTCGTTTCGTGTACAAATACAACTATTCAGCGAAGCCCCTTAGAATCGGACGCAAACCACACTGCGGCTCCTCTCGCTGCTGGGTTTCATGAGGGCGGTAGAGCGGGAAACGGGTGGGCAAAGTGTTGACTGCGCTCGGGGGTGGGAACGACTGAACGAGTGAGTGACTGAACAGCGCACATAGATCATTTAAAATTAAAAAAAAAGCGATAATATGCTGCAGCTTCGCATTAGTGGTGCCATGCATGCAAGAAGTGTGCAGCTGGGCAGCTTTCTTTGTTTCTCTTTTTTTTTCCTCTCCCTTCAAATATTTTCGTATTTTTTCTCGCTTTATTTCTCTCGCTTTTAAAATTGTTTCTAGTTTTTCTTAATTTCTATTTCCCGCTTATTTTTCAATTTTCTACGTGATTTTAATGTTACAAGTGTATCGCTCTGATACCACCGCCAAGGCCCTCGAAGAACAAGAAAAGGGAGGCTTCTCTTCGACGCCAGCTTAGATGGCAGTGCCATATATGGCTTCGCCTGCGTTACACCTTGCGACGACGACGGTCTGCCCAGAGATGACTCAAACCCACTCCTACATTTGCCCTGTAGTACTCCGCACTGAAAAGGCCGCATGCGCAGCTATTCTGCTTGGCGAAAAGTCGATTACCCCAGTGCGTAGGTTCCGCCGGAATTTTTAGAAATGTATCTGAACGAGCATTTTATCGAAATGCGTGAAACGTCCTTAGTCATGATGCAGCAGGGGCCCATTGGCTTTTGGGCATATCACGTTGCCTAGTTTGCACATCGCTTAAGAGACCCTTCGCCTGTCCATCAATGGACTACATGATTTACTGCAATGGATGAGCCGACGAAGAGTTCCTACAATCTACAGAACACTATTTTATGTGTCCATTGTGCTGCATTATCGCCTATTCATAATAAAATACGGTTATCTTTGTTCAGGGGAAATGTTTATTTCCGCATGTGTTGTAAAAAAAACGGAAGAAAAAAACTTAACAACTTTAACTTTCATTGAGTGTACTGGTGTGGCCGATCTCAGTTACCACGTTTAATGGTTCGTAGCGTGAAACATTGGCTTCGCCTTCGAATCGAGTGCTACGTACATGTTACATCTGGTAACGTTGGCTGTGTATTTAAACAACATCTATGCAATGCGAAGCATGTTTTGGTGTAATGTGATTATTGCGTGAGTTGCTAAAACTTTATTATCATTACGTGGCATCGTAGAATTATTATAGTATTCGGTATTTTTTCGCGTTGAAGGATAAAAAACAGCGCCAAGAAATTGGCGTAGACTAAAGAAAACACGACACAGATGCTGAACTCGCAACTAAAAGTCTATTAGATAGCACAAGCACATAGACTGAGCAACCGACATAGTCACGTAGCAGACCATGGCGTCTTCAAAGCAGAGCATTCAGGGAAAAAAGGTTACCTAATAATGGCGAAATGCAGCCATTCTGTAAATACCTGTCAAATAAGAACAAACTATCTACTGGCAAAGACATGTGCTACAATCTACAAAAATATTTGCTTTTACGTGGCAGCGCTGATACCAAGTATCGAATCTCCTTTTTATCAAAGGCCGCCGATGCTTTATTCACGCACCTGTTCCCTTTCAATGTAAAACTCTTCCACCATCTCTAGTGCATTTCTCCTGATGGCCAAACAAACGATTGCTTTCTTCCGCCATTGGCTGGTAGCCGTAGTTTCTACAAGGAGCGCACAAGTGCAAACCGCCACAAACCGCCAAAAGGCTTGTACAGCCACCACAAATGTTCCTCTTCAATGCGCTTAAAACTGAAGCTCTTTTCTCTCAAGTATTTCGTAGGTGATCTCCAGCTTATGGCCATAATCTCGAAAACTGTTTAATATGCCACTTTTCACTGCTATAGTGACTGTCGATATTGATTAAAATGAAAAGAAAACCTGATTTACATATTTTAAAAAATCCGCAAAACAACTTGTGCAACTTCTCGGCAACACACCTGATAACTTGACCCACAAAAGTATTACGTAATATCGGTGCCACTCTCGATCAAACGCAAGCCCAGAATTTCAGGGCGAAAACGCTCGCTTTCCATCCCATAAAACGACCGCAAGTAAAACGTCAGCAGCTATGGAAAGTTTCGCAAGGAAATGCCAAAACTGTTAACGAAGCCTTCTACATTTTTGATGGAGGCAAAAATGCTGTAGGCTCTCCTGCTCAAATTTGGATGCACGTTAAAGAACCCCAGGTGGTCGAAATTTTCGGAGCTCTCAACTACGGCGTCTCTCATTCTCACATGGTGGTTTTGGGATGTTAAACCTTACATATCAATGAATCAAATAATCAATCAACGAAGCCATTTTGGTTATTGTCCTCACCAGCATAAGCTTTACCACTCTGCAGAAGTTTTTTATGTCGTAAGGAGTAAAACATGTCTTTGATGTGGAACATGAACAAAAAGCCGAATATGAACACGGGTTGCTGTTCCTGACAAAACCCAGCTGATTGTTCCAGTACGAAATCATAGTAATAAGGGCTGCAGCGCGAGCACGAAGGTGCTAGAAGAAACAGACGAAAGGCAATGCAAGAAAAGCAAGGAGGGCAACACGAGCGCTGCCTCGCCTTTCGTCTGTTTCTTCTAGCACCTTCGTGCTCGCGCTGAAGCCCTTATTACTATGAATTCAAACCAACTAGCCCAAATAGCCATTCTTCTCCAGTACGAAAATTGAGTAGAAAATCTAGCAGATGGACAAGTCAGTAAATGATTTGTTGTTTTTTCTCGGGTGTTTAGACACGAGTTGCATTTCGTCATGATTGGGTGACAACTTTTTTACAGTGATTGCTCTGTTGCGCTGATGCCATTATGAGCCACGAGACTAGGTCGGCTACTTGATATATGTGCGTGTGCATTTCAATAAATTAATTGCGAGTCCAGTGCCTGTGTCATGTCCACCTTGAACATATTTTAAGACAGTGCACGACTACGCGAGCACAAGAAAAAAAAGAGACAGACCTTTTCTTCTTATGTGTCTGCGTAGTCATGCGCTGTGTTGAAATGTGTTCAAATACTATAACCAACTCGTCGAGCTTTTAGTCCTTCTGCGTGTCCATCTAGTCTGTTTTTTGCGCTGTTTTTGCATAACTACCAACTTGTCCAACGTATGAAGTTTAGGATACCTGCGCATAGGTGTATTGTCAAAAAAATTGATGAGCGATGCTGTGGTATCCTCTTTCAGGATCACTGGGCGCCTTACGAACAGGATGTCAGCCGTGATGCCGTGCCGGCGAAGGCGCCTCCGCGCAAGCCTTCGGCACACATGGATCCATGGCCGGTTTCAGACCACGCCACCGTATTTGTGGGTGAAGAGCTTCTCCCGCACGGCACAGAACGCAGCAACACCACTGGCGGCCGTGACGACGTGCCGGTGCGAACTGGAGGCCACCTAGAGGATGGGCTGACGGTCACCATGGTGGCTGTGATCGTCGCTGTCAGTGCGCCTCTGGCCATCGCCCTGCTGCTCCTTATCGTGCTCGTGGCCTACCGGCGCCGCTATCCGGTTCGAATGGGCATCGGGCGAAAATTTCCAACATTTGAAAACCCAGCTTATGTGCGCAAGGATGCCCATCACCCCCGGGAACTCACCAGATTTTCGATCGCTGACCGGGATCGCTTCTGATGTGGTGTGGGACCGCAAGGCGACATTTCGTCATCTGTTTTTTTCTGACGAATGGAAGTCGACAAAGTACGATAGGATGAAACAACGAACTGGTCGTTGTCATAGCACTCCTTGAAAACAGCTGATGCCTTACTTATTTCTGCTCCATGTTTTTCCCCCTTGCCAGCTCAATTTTTTGTAGGTTAAAGCCGTGCCAACCGCAAAGGGCCTTCTCTAGTTTTAATGTTACCTGCGCATGGGACATATCGTGGCTTGGTGACAAGGTTCTGCTCGTAATAAGGCCCACCAGGAGAAATGTTGTTTACACACTGCCACTTTTCAATGGACTTCTTTACAAAGTATGGCAATATCATGTGTTTTATAGAGACGGAAGCACTCACCGCTGTCTGCTTAATTCGAACGGCGTCTAAGTGTTCCCGTTGTGAGTGCTTTAGGCGGTCTAGCTTCGCATCTTTTCGTAAAATGACATCGAACACTCAAGGTGACAAAACGTCATGTCTTCCGGTAGTTAAGAAACTGGTTGTATGGAGCGCTCATGAATTATCGCGTCATCGAGATAACGAGATGCTCTTGTGTACTAATGTTTGTTCCGGACAACTGCAGCTGAGTGCTTTCTCTCACAACAAAAGTAGTGTCGGACTTCTCCCGGTTATAACTGTTGCTCCTAAAAAGCCAAGGAAATAAAAAATGATTGATTCGACGACGCATTGTTGCCATTCTATTCTAATGGGGCTTGTTAATCAGAGAAACGAACATGTCTCTGGCCATGACGGTATTGAACAGTGTGTAAGACGCCTTCACTTTAGTACGGGACAACAAATGGGTGACATTGTCGCTGCCTGTGAGGAAGGCATTTTACCTCTTCGATGGTATAACTTGCCTGAATTCGTAATGATCTCTAGAAATATTTATGTAATCCTAAATAACGGGTACAGCCCCTGTCTCTGTGGTAAACGCAAAAATGAAAATAGACAGATTACAGTGGCAATGATTTTTGTTTGGCATGGGCTGATAGTTTTTTGTCGAAGATTTATTTCTGGTGTGCTCCGTGAAAAGTAGCGACGGTGCGAAACGTCATAAACTTTTAGTTCAACCAGATCCGCTTTGCTATGGCGTGCTTAGTGCATTCACCTTGTTACGTCATAAAGGTATTATATGCTGTAAAAATGTTCAGTCGGGACGTGGCCATTGATAAAAGGCCGAGAGAACATGTAACATTCTGACAAGCTTGCCCGGACCGCTGCAAAAAAGAGATGACTCAAAAGCACACCTACGGACGCTGCTGTGCCTAAGAAGAGGTAGGCAAGACAGAGTCGACTAACCAAGCCTACAAAAATTGCGACCAGAACTAACCCTTGTGGCCGCTACAAAACTCGTTTTAAGCTTTGCAATATTCCACACCAGACCCACAACGTGAACCTCGACCCAGGTGGGGCAGTCTTCCAGGCACCACAACGAAACGACCAACGCCACCACTACCACCACTCAGACCGAAAACCCTTAGCTATTTACACGCCCTCTTCTCTAAAAAGCCGCCCACGCCTTCCGAAGAACCACCACGAAAGCAGCTAAGCCAGTCTCCAACAGACAAGGTGAGTCTGTCGTTCACTCCACTGGGTCACAGTGCTATCAAACAACATAACACCTTTACCCACTCATTCCCCTCTACTTCATCTTCCACTGGTCTACAGGTGTCAGCACCACCGCATTATTTTCTCGCGTATAAGGCCGAAAATTATACCCGGTTAGAAACAATAGAAAGACAACCTTGTGCAGTAGCAGCAAGACCAGATACAGACGCAACAAGTAGAGGTTCTCAAGCAACTGTCAGCCCTCGCGCAGTTGCTTGAACTACTCAGAAATGCAGCTACCACCCGCAGGCGTTGTGTGGCGCGTGACAATGCATACCCGTATAAGCTTGTGAATAATAATAATGGCAACGTCGATTAATTCGCAGCACGTTTCGTAACAGCCCACTATGGGGATTTTCATGTGGTAGGGGAACTGTCGAGGTATTTGCCGCAAACGTAGCTGCCTCTTACATTTCATTACGCAATCTCCACGTAAAACGGATGTCATAGTTCGCTAGGAACTATTAGCAGTAATTTTTTTACCAGGAAATACAACCCACAGTGCTCCGAACATCCCCCCCCCCCCAAAAAAAAACATGTTTGAAACTGCACACGTTACGTACCGAATCATGGCCTTAACGCTAGATCAGACCATCCGTTGTGCAGGTACCTGTTGACTAATCGAAGAATGACAAAGAGAGCATTTTCTTAAAATATAGATTGTTGTGACAGTGCGACATAGGCATCATGAATACTTATCGCCAACCTAATTCGAAAATGTGCCGTAGCCATTGGAATGCACGTTTTCAAGTAATTTGAAAAATCGGATTGGCTATGGACAGGGGACTTTAATAGCATTCATACCTACTGGGGTTACCATGCATGCTCGGAGGCCCAAATGACCCTTATCAATTTGGCCTGCAGAGACTAACTCTCTCTTCTCAATTATGTCAACATGCCCACTACAACCGGTAATTCCGTGCAACGTGACACAAATCCCGGTTTGGCATGGAGCAGGACAATGAAGACACCGGACTAGTGCAATTGAGGTGAAACATTCGGCAGTGATCACTGCATATTTGAAGTGACAATTTCCTTACCTAATCGACAAAAAGGTCTCAGGTGGGGGTACAGCAACACAATACCGTTAGAGCTCACAGACTGGGACGCATTTCGCAGGGCCACTGCAGAAGTAAAAACGCCTACACTTGACCTTGAAACCGTTTTCTACTTACATCACTTAGAGAAACTATCAAAACAGTTCAGCGCAATGTTGACAGCACACAGATGGATCAACACCTTGTAGCCCGCTGGGACAGAAGGCATGTGATAGTTAGGAGATGGAAATGGAACAGATTAAACAACTTCTGAAGTCCCACATAGAAGAGATCACGCGACAAGCGCAGAAGTATGCGGAAAAGTTAGCCACCGACATTTGGCTGGATATTTGTGAGCGCGTAGACACGTGAGCTCACAGACCATCAGAGCATGGTATCTTTTTCGCACTTTGCTGGGGCATACCAAATGAAAGAACAACCTAAAAGCAATACAGCTCAAAAATGGAATTGACTTGCAAACGTCGGCAGAAGAAATTGCCGAACATTTCATTCCAACAGCTACGACAATTCTTGTGCTCATCCTTTCGGCATCAGCTGACAACACCTCTTCAGATCTCGGCCCATCTTTTCTGACGGGAGAGCTGCGAATGGCTATCGACGCCCGTGAAAGCCAGTCCTGCATAGGCCGGGACGAGAGAAGCAATAAGATGGTGAGGAATTTGCCCGAAACACAACTGACGTTTGTTCTCTACACCATCAACTAAGCTTGGGAAGCAGGATATATACCCCCAGGGTGAAAAAGGACCACTGTATATTCCGAAGCCCATTAAGGCACCAAACAAAATGGGGAATCTTCACCCAATTTTATTGGCGTCGTATCCAGGAAAACGTCTGGAGCGCATTGCGTCAAGAAGACAGGGCCTGTACCGTTGACCAGCGCGCCATTGGTTTCCGAAAACACACGTCTGCGCAAGATGCGATGCTTGCTTTGCAGGATGCGTACACCGAACACAGCATCTCTCAACTGCGCGCTGTATCAGGGGTGCGTTTCAATACGTAACCCACGTAGCGGTTCGTGAAGGCCTCTGGAAAATTTGACCGGGGCAGAAGCTATACAACTACGTCAAAAATTTTCTTACCGACCGCACAGTTGCTGTGCTGGTAAACGAAGTAAAAGCACGCATGTGGTACTTCCAACTAGGCGTACCGCAAGGGTCAATTTTGTCACAGACCCTCTTTTGCATCGCTTTCAATGGTCTGACGAGGTAAGTGAGGTGCTTACTATACCTTCATTTTACAATATATGCGGATGACATCAACCTCTTGACCGGAAGGGGTTCCCCTTCAGAACTACAATGCACTCTACAATCGGCCATTGATGCTTTTGCTTGATACCTTGAAAAAAGAGGGCGACTGTATCCAGTCTCAAATCTGGCATTGTCACAAACGGAAAACTTCCAAATGCTCAGGAAGAGCAGCCACTCGTTACGCTCCTTAAATAGAATCACCATATTCCCCGGAAGTCCTGCATAAAAGTGCTGAGCTTCTTTTTGCAGGACAACGGCAAGTCAAAGGAGTGGCTCCGACATACAACAGGTGTACCAAGTACACCGTCTTGTGAAACACACAATGCGAAAGCTGAGCGGAATCAAAGAACACCAACTCAGGCGCATGACTAGCTTCAGCTATTCCCCGCGTCATGCATGAATTTCCATACATTGACCTCACCAAGACCCAAAAATCGAAGCTTCAGACCTTGCTTCATCAAATTTTTTGCACGATACTGGGTACCCCTCATTCTGCAAAGTCTGGTAGGGTTCAAGGAACTGCGATCCTACCAAACCTCGACACGTTGGCTCAAATTCACCACGAAGCACAATTGACGCGCTTTAAACATTCATTTCAAGGACGCGCCCTGCTTCGTGAATTAGGCTACGACATTTGAAGCAAACTGGCCTCCATGGGTAACGCTCGACCAGATCGCCGTCGAATCAGTACCACGGCACATGGATCGAGATATTCAAACAGGACGACGCCAATCATGAGTGCAACATCTCCAAGAAACCGCAGGAGAGTGAATCTCGTACATGGATGAATATCTGCGAGGGCTTTCGAACGGCTTCCGATTGACTGTCATAGGGCTTCCATTACCGCATGAGTACGCAATGCATTGCAGAAATTACGACCATAGTAGAAGCAGCTACCATGCCCAACACAAATGCTCGTTTTTACTGATGCTCACAGACAGCCAAGCTGCCTGTCGAGCACTCGTCACAGGTGATATTAAAGACGTCCATTAGAGCCAACTTGTGAAGCACTTAGCTGAAAAAATATCACTACGTGTTCGTACACAGTGGATACCTGGTAACTCGGGTATCAGAGAGAATGAAGTGACACACGCCACGTCTTGCGTAACTCTCCCAGGCCCTTCTCTGTGGTGGCCGGATTCGCTGAAGCGCACCGAATTACTTGCTATGGCTTTTTCAGAGAGACGCGAACGATTAGATGAGATGCGTAACAATTGCAGGGTTTATCCCGAAACCCCTCACTTCATAATGAGACGTGAAGCAGCCAGAGTAAGGCGTGCCCAAGCTCACTATTTGGCGACACCTCACATTCGCACTTCATAGGCGCGTTGCCAGAATTTTTTTTTGGTGGGGAGGGGCACCACCTTGATTTCGGTAAGGGCACTATTTTAAAATGACCATATTTGGCTCTTTATGCCAGGCGACAAAATATCACTGCATTTCAAGCTGCTTGAAGATAATTATGGGGCGAAGCTTTCGGAGGTTATTATTGTAAGTTGAGATAGTACTGAGACTGATTGTGGTTATGATACTCATATCTTTTTTATTCAAAGAGATAGTGCTGAGACCAATTGTGATATATTGGTGATTCTTCTTTATTGCTGATATGAGGTTACGAGTTCCGGGTTACGTTTTGACTTCATAATCAAAGCTTCATTAGCTAATGTCTCTGGTGTAGAATTTTCTTGTCGGTATTACCGCCTTGCATCCGCTTCAAGTTGTCTCAACTGTGCGTCAGCTTGGCGTTTTTGCCGCTTAGCCTTTGCT